ATCACGAATAACACGTGCTTGAATTATTTCTCCATATGGTAAAAATAATTCAATTAATTTATTTTCATCATTTTTTTCTAAAGAATAAATCAAGAAAAAAAAAAGAAACTCGATAAATTATAATTTCTCTTTTTTTTTTTTTTCTACCAGGTAAATTTCTTATATAAAGATTTGTACCACGTGTTTCTTCACATTTTGGTCTTGCATAAGATACTTTTATTGTTTTATGTTCCATTTTTAATTGATTAAGTGTATCAATTGCTTTATATAAAAGTAAATGAGAATATTAAAAAAATACTACATATATATAAAATAGTTTACCTTTAGCTGCATCTTCAGCTCGATAATAATCAACAAAACCATAGCCATATGAATATCCAGTCGCACGATCATACCTAAAAAGATTATCAAAATTAACATAAATAAATAAGAGGATTAGTTTAGGTCGGATCTTTCATAAACAATATGATTTTTTCTTGGTTATGTTAGTTTGTTTTCTAAAAATTTTCAATGTTTTTCGTTATACTGTTTTCTTTTCAGAAAAAGCGGGAAATCTTTTTTTTTTGCGTTTTTCTCAAAGTTTGAATGAAGCTTGTCTATTATTAAATAAAAATATACTTTTATCATTTTTTTAGACTTTTTCCATAGATTAAACTTGTTAATATCACTGAAGAGAATCCAAAGTAATCAGATTTTTATACTCTGACGTTTGTACAAGACACTGATTTAAAAGGTATTGGTAAATATATTTGCTTATTTTTCTTTTTGCCAGGTCTTGGTGTCATTGAAGAATCTCAAAAACAGTCAATTAGTAAATATCTAAATAAATCAAAAATTTTGTTCGTACTAAACACAATAGGCTTTCTTCTATTATGTATAACTTCTCTGAATGAGGTTTTAGAATAGTTTTGACTTTAGTTTTCTACTAAATCATGTATTATAATAAGCTAGAATTTGTAAAGAATCAAACTCTATATACGTTTTTCGAATAGTTACTCTTTACATGAGAGAACATTAGGATGGAGAAACCTTGAAAAAGGGTGATATTTACATCAAACGACAATATCGTAATCGACCAATTTGTGAAAACATTTGACGAAATTGTTGTTCTTTAACTGATTGTGGAAGATAATTGACAATTAAACATGTTCGACTATGATCATTTTTACTTAAATTTGAACCATAACCACTTGAATCAGTACCTTTCGTATGACCACTACCTAATGATATATCCGATAATGTATTTATAGCAATACGATCAATTGAATTATTTAAAATCATTTTTTGTACATCAACCATATTAGAATTTTTTTGTTTTGTATGAAAAAGTATAAAATAAGACGTTGCAAGTATGAAAAATTGTTTCGATGAATTTAATTGATATTAATATTAATCAGCCGATAATTTGATATATTGTGATAAAATGATGTTAAGAATAGGAAACTTTTATTTTTGGGAAATAGGCTCAACAACTGACTAATTGTTACTACTTAGTTACTAAATAATAACTATAATTATTATGCGCGTCATTTTGATATAAGCGGGAAATGTGAATTTGTTTGTTTTTTTTTGTTTCAAATATTTAAAATGATTACATAATCTAACAATCATGTCATATAAACATATCAGTTAATATGTTTATATTGAACCATGCAGTTTACTTTTACCATGAAGCATTAATACATTAAACAAATTAAAATTCAATCCCTTATTTCCACTGCCATCTGTTTCCTTTTCCTCATTAGTAGATTTTCATCATTCGTTGAAAACTATCTACCATTAACAACACAAGATAAATGGTGTGAAGTGAACGAATGATTAAATGCCGAAAATAAAACAAAGTGTACTGAAGATAAGATTTTTCATATGATGACCTATAGACTAATAAATATAACTACATACCTTGCATTCTATTACAAACTTATTTACAATGATAGAGGACTTACCTACACGTCTTGTTTCGGCTCTATTAAATAATCAAAATAAGTTCTCACCAATACTTGGTTTTCCATTAACATTAACCAATGCTCGTCAACTCAATTTAAGTGTTCATAATAAAGAATTACAAAAATTTACCAATGCTGAAGATTATGCCAATACTTTGGATAAAAATTTTATTTGGTAAAAGCACAAAAAGCTTTTTCTTTTTTTTAATCATAAAAAAACAACCATTTTTTCTTTTTCATATCAACAAAATTCAGGCTAGGTGGTTATGGTGAAGAACGAAATATCTATGCACATTCATCTTTATTTTCTCAAGATAATCGTTGTATACATTTAGGTGTTGATATAGCATCAAAACCAAATACACCAATCTATGCTCCACTTAATGGACGTATACATAGTTTTAAAAATAATGATAAACTATATGATTATGGACCAACAATCATTCTTGAACATGATCTTGATGATAATATTCATTTTTATACACTTTATGGTCATTTAAGCTTAAATTGTTTAAAAAATTTAACTGTTGGACAATTAATTGAACATGGTCAAGTTGTTGGTGATATTGGAGATAAAACTGAAAATGGTGGTTGGAATCCACATGTACATTTTCAAATTATATCTGATATGGAAAATATGCAAGGTGATTATCCAGGTGTAGCATCAAAGCAAGATGCATCAACAATGCTTCATAAATGTCCTGATCCACAATTAATTCTTGGTTTTCCTGATAAACCAATTATTTATTAAAAATAAAAAAAGCATAAAAAATATTTTTTGTTTAATTTTTTTACTAGTTGATTTAATTAACAAAAATAAAATAAAATAAAATAAATTATTTAAATTTGTAGATGGAAGAAAAAGAAGCTCTAAATAAATTTAATATGCAAGAATATGAATGTGGACAAAAAACAAATTTATATCGAATGGATAGTCATCAAAATTGTGTAAATTTATCAACAATGAAAAAAAAATCAAACATATCTCCTACGTCTTTTTTTCGAGCTTTTTTCTATCCAGATAATTATCCATTAGGTAATTAAAATATGTTTGTCTAGAAATTTTCAAAAAAAAAAATTATTTTGTTTTTCATCTAGGTGTTAGTTCTGATTATGGTATCTATCAATATTATAATATAATTCAAACAGGATGTATTGCAATATCAGGTGCATTAGCATTTAGTGCACTTTTTCGTGGAATGGGTGTTGGAGAAGATACATCGAATTATTTAGCTGCTTCTATAGTTTGGTTACTTAAAGATGGTGCTGGTATGATTGGTCGAATTATATTTGCTTGGGGTTTTGCAGCATCATTAGATGCTAATTGTAAACAATGGCATTTTGTTGGTGATATACTTAATGATATTGCATGTACACTTGATTTAATAACACCATATTTTCGATCAGCTTTATTATTTATTTCAAGTATTTCGAATATATGTCGTGCAGTAACATTTGTTATACATGGCTCAACACGAACAGTTATATTTCAAGTAAGATAATTGAGCGCAAGAGAGATATCGATATATGACGACGCACTTTTGTCAGTTAATCTTAAATATGCTATTTGTTTTGCTTGGAAGCTTTAAAATAGAATTTCAAACTTCAAATGTGACACTCGATCGTAAAATATCTTTGTTTCAGAAACTATTAGGAATTAACAATTCAATTTCATATTAGAAATAAATGCGAAAACCTCGGATTTAAATCCGAGTGTTATGTGTACTTCAAAAAGTGAAAAGCTTTATTCACTGTGTTTTTTATCACTAAATTGCAAGGAGAAAATACAGACGTGCTAAGTTAGCATGAACCACACTGTATGCGACCCTATTCTGTGACCACTGACTCTACTCTCAGAGTGATAGAATATCTTTAGAAATCACAGGAATTCAGTTCAGATTCGTGTTTAGCTTGGGAAATTGGGTAAGAAGAGTTATTTTTGAACGGATTTGCGTTTGTATCTAGCAGGATTACGATCGTAAGCAACCTCATCAATCTATAAGAGATATATCATAGATACAGGCATCAGGATTTTCCTAATAAATTACCAATATTAATAGCTATCGAGTTAGGGTTTTTACCTTTCGATAGTCCTTTTGACTA